CATCTGGAAAACCCATGAAAGAAAAAAATGTCTCCATGACTCACCCAATGGATGAGTCATTTATAGATCTTTTAAGGTTAATCGAGGAAAGAGTCTCAAATTAGATGCCTCTCCTGTAGCAAAGCATTTATATTCCATGGCATCCATGTGTACCTATTAAAAGAGGTCTAGTCGAAATCTTCAAAAAGGATTGCATGCCAATATCCCATTGTTTGAAACAGTTAAAAGTCTGCTTTAGTACTCCCTCCCAATCATTTGTACTGACAAAGAAGGAAGACTAAGCAAAACATTAATGCTGCACACATTATGGCTCTGAGATGTGATTGTGCCAGCAATTTGCTCTCCTCAACCCCAAGTCAGACCCAAGTGGGATGAGAGAAGAAATCTGCTAAACAGCAGCACGATAAATAGGGAGAATGCAGGGATTTCTAAGAGTAGAAATAGAGATGTTGTTACAGTACATGTGTTTGATGGGACATGGGATACAGTGGGACTATTACTTCCCTCCTGCAGACAAACTTAAGATAATATGGCAAAACAGATTTAGAAGTTCACAGATAGGGGAGGGTTTAAGATACTCTGGGAACAGACAGTTATTGTACTTCCTTTGTATAAAGGAAGAATAGTTACAAACAGCAGCTATTTCTGTTGCTAAATAAATTTCAACATTTTGTTTTGTAAATTAAGCAGAACATCAGAATTCTTGGAAGTCACATACCTATTTGGCTTTATAACTGTAGCCAACTTGAGAGCAAGGATGATGTCACAGTCATTAGTGGCTATAGGAACAAGAGTATGAAAAATGGCACAGTTCAAAAAGATTTTATACCAAATTAGAGTATCTAGAACATCATTGCCACTTAGGCTTAATATTTACTGAACAGACTGTAATCCAGGTGCCATCTCCTAAAATTTTGAGCTCTTTTAGATGAGAGAGGATGAGACTTTATATCAGGCGTCTTCAAACTTGGCCCTTTTATGACTTGTGGACTTCAACTCCCAGAATTCCTCAGCCAGCCAAGTCATAAAAGGGCCAAGTTTGAAGACACCTACCTTATATTGTATAGTGCAGTGGTGGCGAACCTATGGCACCCGTGCCAGAGGCAGCACTCAGAGCCCTCTCTGTGGGCACCCGTGCCATGCC